TTTAGGGGTTTAGGGTTTAGACTCCAACAGATAAGCGGACATAAGTAGGGTGATGATTACCCTGCTGCTTGGGGATTACACCACCAAAAGTGATCCTAACCTCGCCTCTTTTACAGCACAACCTTGCAGAACCCTTTTCTAAAGCAATCCAAAACCTTATAAGGCCCTCTCGAAACCCGTCTAAGGCACTCTCGAAACCCGTCTACAGCCTTCACAAAATCCCACGAATCCTCTAATGTAGGAGCCGTATTTAGAATAGGGTTTTGCGTGGAGATTCTACTATAACTATAGTAAGGAACCCCCAAAATGGTATTGGTAAATTATTTAGGCCCGTAGATTACCCTGAACCCCTAAGCCCCTAAACCCCTAAACCCCAAACCCTAAACTCAAACCCCTAACTACTATAACTATAACTATAGTAAGGAACCCCCAAAATGGTATTGGTAAATTATTTAGGCCCGTAAATTACCCTGAACCCCTAAGCCCCTAAACCCCTAAACCCCAAACCCTAAACTCAAACCCCTAAACCCTAAACCCTAAACCCCTAAACCCCTAAACCCTAAGCCCTAAACCCCTAAACCCCAAGCATAAAACCCCTAACCCCTAACCCTTAAACCCTAGACCCACGAAGAGCAAGGGAAGGCGCCGAGGTCCGTCAACTCCGCTGGCTCATCGCTCGTGAGCTTCTGGACGGAGATGGAGCGCTCCTTTTGCTTGCAGGGGTTTTTGGGATTTGTTAGGGGGTTTGGGGTTTGAGGGTTTTGGGGCTTTGGGATCTTTAGGTGGTTTTGGGCTTAAGGGTTTTGGGGGTTTAGGATTTAGGGGTTCTGGGGGTTTTGGGTTTAAGGGTTTTGGGGGTTTTGGGGTTTAGGGTTTAAGGGTTGTGAAGGGTTTTGGGGGGTTGGGGTTTATGGGTTTTGGGGGTTTGGGGTTCATGGGGTTTGGGGGTTTAGGGTTTATTGGTTTAGAGTTTAAGGGTTCTGGGGTTTGGGGTTTACAGGTTTAGGGAGTGTAGGGCCTAGGTTAGTAAGGGGTTTTGGGTTTATGGATTTTGGGGTGTGGGGTTTAGGGCTTAAGGGTTTTGGGGTTTTGGGGGTTTGGGGGTTTGTGGGATTTGGGTTTATGGATTTTGGGGTATAGGGTTTGGGGGTTTAGGGTTTAGGGGGTGTAGGGTTTTGGGCTTAGGGGGTTTAGGGTCTAGAATTTAGGGTCTAGGGTCTACAAGGTTCTTTCTCGGTGTTTAAGGGTTACGGAGCCGGACGAAAAGGAATCCTGAAACCCTTGTCCCGGAAGGCCTGAATGCCTTTTCAACCCTGAAAAGGCTTTGAACGGTTTTGTACTTTTCGGTGTGGCAGGACTGTTGAGCTTTCAGGGGCCCCTGAAAGGGTTCTCGGTGAGGCTTTCGGAAGCTAGGGTTTAGGGCCGTAGGCTTTCGGGGTTCAAGCTTGGGGTTTTGGGGTTTCGTAGAAAGCGCGAAGAAACTGCTGCCCCTGACCCCTAGAGAAAAGTTACGACCCAACCCATTGCAGCATCATCCGCTTAGAAGACTGAGCCTTAGGCCCTTTGCAAAGCGTGGACTGATTAGTCCCTTTAGGGGTAAAGGTTTTATTTCCAACCAGAACTCGCCTGTTGTTGGGTGGAGGTGATGCCAGTCAAGATCATCATCATCATGAGAACATGATGATGACCACAATGGTGATGACAATCACCATAATGACGAAGATCAACATTGCTCGGGCGGCATGAAACTACCGTGTTGTTTTGTATGCCTGTTGTTGCCATCGTCATTATCATCGTCATCACCATTATTATCATCATCATCATCATCGTCATCATCATCGCCAGCATCATTATGATCATCACCATCATCATCTTTGCTGTCATCCTTGGTATCGCTTGCTGCATTGCTGCTCCTGGATTACATTGAGCACCGCCAGCGTCTTCTGCTCTTCTGACCATGCGATTCGCCCTACCCCAAAACCTGCCGTCTTCACCGAGACACTCCCCCGTTGTCCAGCTGCACATCTTCTATACGCTCCGATATGCGACGCTGAGCAGTCCTAGGATGTTTAGAAGAGCTTCGGGCTGAGTTTTAGGGAATTAGGAGTTTGGCCTTCCGGGTTGTTGAGGTGCAGGGCTTAGAGGGTTGAGGGCTTGTGGGGGTAGAGTTTGGGAGCAGTCCATGTTCGCCGTGCTGTCGTGCAGAAACGCATCCACCCGAACACTGCAGGCACTACTCGGCTTTGACATACACTGGACCCTGAAACCCAGGAGGCGTTCGAAGGTTGGATTTGCGCAGCGCGAGCAACCGTAAGGCTCTGGATCAGGACTTGGACTGTCCAAAGTAGGGTTGGGGAAATTTAAGTGCTCTGATCCCAAAATATAGGAGACTAGATCATTAAAATAGGGTTTTCGGTATACTACAGTACATGCAGGATAAGGAGACCCGAAGCCGTCAAGCCTCAACCATAACCCTAAACCCTAAACCCTAAACCCCTAAACCCTAAACCCTAAACCCTAAGCCCCCAAATTTTGAACCCACGAACACCCTCTGTGGAACCTCACGTCGCATCCCAAACATGAGATGAGACCCGGAGCTGTGCCGAAGTCAACCGCCGGAGCTGGGCAGAGCCCTAAAGCCCTAGCAATCCCTGAACACGGGACTTCAATTTTCTGATCCCCCAAAAACCCCCTACAAAATCCGCCGAAAAACCTGTGAAACCTCATATGAAGTCCGTGCAAAGCCATCACACCCGTCAATACCTGGCCCAAAAACCCCGTGAAACCCTGAAGTGGACAGACTACCCGTAGTCAGAAACCCTAAACCCTAAACCCTAAACCAACCCTAAACCCTAAACCCGAAACCCGAAACCCTAAACCCGAAACCCTAAACCCGAAACCCTAAACCCCAAACCCACCTGAAAAGCCCAAGGCACCACCGGCCCAGTTCGAAGACCGTCTTCTGCGCCTTTGGCTCCCGCAAGTCCAGGACGAGGCCTCAGCTGCGCAAAGGGCTTCGGGTTTAGGGTTTAGGGTTTAGGGTTTAGGCTCGGGGCTTTTATGTTTGTGAAATGAATTCTCTTTATGGTTGTTAGTTTGAGTTTTTTTACCAGGTTTCTTTATGGTTGTTAGATTGTGCTTGTTACAGGGTTTGTTTGTACTGGTTGCTAGTTTTATGGTTGTTCAATGAGCTTGTATGGTTGTCAAATGGGGCAGTCATTGGTTTAGGGTTTGGGGTGTGCGGGCGTTACAAGGAAATATTGGGGCTTGTGGTTGAGAATTGGTGGGAGGGGTTGCAAGGGCGCATAACGGTTTGTGGATTTTTGGAAGGGGGGGGTAAAGGATTCTGGGTTTTGGGGACTAAATCCAATACAGGGGCCTTAATAATTAGAATAGGGTTTCGGGTATAGAAAACCATAATGATAATAGGGAAGCCCCCAAACCCTATTCTCATCATTAAGGCCCCTACATTATCCTGGGCCAAGCGATTTGGAGGTATGAGACGGTAGGCTTTCGGGAGTCGGGCTTGCGGTGCAGGCTGTTGGGATTCGGGTGGCCCCAAAAACCCTAAACCCTAAACCCTAAACCGAAACCCTAAACCCTAAACCTGCACCCTAAACCGAACCCCTAAACCCTAAGCCTAAACCCTGAACCCCAAACCCTAAACCGAAACCCTAAACCCTAAACCCTTAAACCCTGACACCTAAACCTTTAAACGACCGGCTGAGGCTTACAGCATCAGGCTCCGAGGTTTGAGGGCCTCAACCGGGATAATGCTCAGAAAAATAAGAATGGTACGAACAAAACCCATATACGAATATGAAAAAATAATGCTCAACATAAACAACAGGAATAATGCTCAAAATAATAAGAATATGAACCACAGGATTAATGCTCAAAATAACATGCATAGAAATACTAGCAGCACTAGTAAAGGTAAGAAGGTCTGGTGGGCTCTTGGTGTCGCCAGGAGTTTGCAAGGAGGCTCCTTGAAGGGATTCCACAAGGATTTTTATCAGGGCTCTACAAGGAAAGCCTAGAACCCCTGTAAAACCCTTAAAGACACCGATCCGTTGAGAAATAGAGTTTAGGGCTTAGGGATTTGGGCCCCTGGGGCTTGGCTTGGGCTCAGGTTTGGCTCTTTGCAACTGTTGGGCTTTCAAGGTAAGTTCAACTTTTGGGGTTTCAGGAAACCCGCAACCCTCAACAGTAAAGCGAACACCTGAAACCATGAGAATCCGAGAAGAATCCGCTGCTCAGACCCTCCATGGAACTGCTCATGTAGGGGCCTCACTCACGACAAAGGACTACGACTACGACTACGAATTATTGGGAACACTACACACCGCCCCGCCCACCCTCCCCCGAAACCTCTCCTCCCCATCTCTATCGCTATGGGGGAGAGTTGAGCCCTAAATCCTTTGAACATCCCGACATTGACATTCCCTTCAAATCCCTCGCATTCGTAAGACCCCTAACCAGCGGCCCCCCAACACCTTCAAAAGCATCCCTTTATCCCACGTCATTCTCTGGGCCATGGAGCTTTGCAGCACGTGCCTCGACTGCAACGCACAAGCGCCCAAAAATCCCCAGCGCGGGAGCCCCCCCAAACAAGTCTAGAACTCTTACAAGGCATTCGAAGGATTCCTGCAAAGGGTCCCCATAAGGGTTCCCGTAAGGGATCCTATGAGGGCTCCTACAAAGGGATCCTATGAGCTTTTTGAGTTGGGGTTTGGGGTTTAGGGTGTGGGACCTAGGGCTTAGACTGTAGGACTTGGGGCTTAGGGCCTTCGTCCCCCATCCCAAAACTGCCTTGCAATCTGGTGATCATGATTCCTCTTCTTGTTATGCATAGCATTCTTATCCTGACTTATGTTCTCATTGTGAATACTAATACTAACATCGTTGTTGTTATTGTGATTGTTCTTCTCATTGAAAGCGCAACTCTGAATTTGCCCTGGCACCCAACACCCTGAAGCTCTTCAGCCCCACATATGCGCACACACACACACACACACCTCGCATCGGGGCCTTAGTTGCTTTAGGGTTTTGGGAGATGCTATTGTTTAGATGTATGGGGACTATCAAGGCAAACTATCACTGCTTATTTCTACCTCTATGTTACACACGTTGCGAGCCGCACCGACCGAAGTGCCTAAGATCCACCATGCCCGGCCAATGCAGCACATGGGACACCCAGGTGAACGTACCGCACACAGAACAAAGCTCCTAAAGCCCAAAGAGCAAAGTTCCTAAACCCTAAAGCTCCAGCAGTAAACGGAAACACCAAACCCCGAACAGTGAACCCTAAGCCCCTGCTACCAAGGGGCAGATCCTCTGCCGGCAGCTGCTCCTGGAAGTCTTTGCTGCGGAAACCCGAACCCTGCCCAAGAACCGAAGCCCAGAATCTTAGTTGTCCAGTAGCCTGGGGAAACTCAACCCTAAACCCTAAACCCCCTTAGGGTTAGGCCAACCTTTGCGGTTATACCGAAAAGGTTAAAGGCTGCCTCCTCTACTGCTATGTAATCCGGGGCCTTGAGCTACTTTCAGGGCTACGACAATGGCTACGATACGATAGAAGGGCTCTGTTGGGCTTCAGGGTTTGAGCCCAGAGACTCCAATATCCCTTAATTAAGGAATATACTTTAAATCATCTTAAGGATCCTACTATAATTTAAGGAATATTCCTTAATTAAGGAATATTGGAGTCTCTGGGAGGGTTTAGGGCTTCGGGTGGCTTCGGGTTCAGACCAGGCACATGGGCGCTGAGGCTGGGTTAGGGTTTCGAATTTGAGGCTCTGGGGTTTAGGGCTTAAATTTAAGGTCAGGGTTTTAGAGTTTAGGGTTTAGGGTTTAGGGTTTAGGGTTTGGGGTTTAGGGTTTAAGTTCAGCAGTTCCGGCTCAGGGCTTTGGGCTTGGGGTCTAAGGCCGGGTTTCAGTGTCCGGGAGGATACAGGAATGAGCGGTCCGGAGAAGTCTCGGGCTGCACTGAAAAACCATAATGTGTGGGGCCTAAAGAATTACCAATACTTTACTCTTTTTTTTTGGGGGGGGCTCCTTATTATACTCATAGCAGTTTGAAACCTTGGGGCAGATCTAGGGGATGCTTGACCCTGAATCTTACACCCTGAATTTCCGTGAGGGTTAGCCACGGCCGTCTGACGTTTGAGGCGTCGCGTCTTGTAGGTGTGTGTGTGTGTGTG